GTAGTTTCGAAGTATATTCCGGGCCTCCAGATATTAGACTTCGGGACCGCTAGTGGTTTTGCATTAAGATACGCAATCATATCATTAATTAAATGCTAACTGTTAAATTGTAGCATGCTAGAATGTGCAGCAAGTTGATGAAGAACGAGCTGCTCCGAAGAATTTAGAACTAAATACTTGAACTACAACAAGCATGTGTAAGGATAGGAGCCAGCTTGCTGGAAAACTCAAGATTAATGCCTAAGGGTATGCACACAGTGAAAGCAGGTTGCCAGCGTGCTGGTTACCTGCTCAGGCTGGCGCCTGAAACCATAGAATACAGAAGCCTATTCGTACAGGTTTTCACTGTGAACACATACATTATTATCCTATGTTCATTCTTGTTGCAGGTTGCCCGCGCGAGCAAACCTGCTTTCACTGTGTGCGTACCCTAACACTACGTATAACAGCTACCTGAAAATTCTTTTAGAAAATGCCTTATAGCTAAATCCTTAATAGCCGCAGTAGCGCGCTTAGCAGCTCGAATTGTTCCGGTCGCTGCATCGACTGGACTGCTTCTTCAATATCAAGCGAGGTTTGCCTACGGGCAGGGTCGCCTTTCTCGAGCAAAATCAAGTCGTATGACGTAGAAGTCTCGCCATTGTCTTTCCGCATTTCTGCTGGCACAACTTCGTGAATATCGTTGAATTCATCATTAGTTGCTACCCCCACAGGATACGAAAATGGTTTGGTCAAAGCTGGCTTAACAGCAACGATGTCACCAACCTTAAATGTGAATTTGGCATCTGTGAAGGTAAGAATCGTGCAAGCGGAATTGTATATAGTCACCCATGCAACGAGATTTGGATGGATTACTCCCTACGTTAAATTACTTGGCAATTAGTTTCCATTCCCGTCTAGGGCTTCTTCGAGAAGCATTAGGAACTTAATCCAAAGTCAGGTTTGATTCACACTGCAACTTATGCAGGAAGAGCGGTAGCCTAACGTAAAGTGTGCTTCTGCCCGCAGCTCCGTAGAGAGTCTGCTTTCGGAGACTAAAGAGGATGCGAGCAGGCCAATCGGTTTTGTTCTTAGATGCGAAATTAAAGATGGCGGGAACAAATTGGCCACAAGAGAATTTAGATTGAATTGAACAAGTCCCGGAATCTCACTGCCACAATGTAAAATTGTGCAACATGAGTGGCACCGCACATGAGTAAATCCTAGAAATTGTTATTTTGTTCACTTCATTGATGGTTTTCATGTAAATTTTAAGCATGAGCATTGTTGTTCGAACTACTTCTAGATCGGAAGAAACATTAACGAACTAAAGATTCACTAGTGGCTCCTCCAGGCACAGTGGAACAGAAATCACCGTTGCCAGATGGTATATTTCTATACCAGATTTCACAAATCTGCTATTTTCATGTATCTGGCATGAATATTTTAGATCTGGTATATTTGCCTAAGTCTGGTATTTTCTGACTTGCTGCATTAAATTCCACCTCTGAACTTTGAACTTCCTCCAGCGTAGGCGTAGATTATATAAATTACCTTCAGAGCGGTGTGACTAGAGGTTTCCCGCCATTTATGGAACCGCAAGTTTACCGCTTGCTGAAATAACCTCAATCTAATTGTTAACATTTAACAAAAGTGCTTAGTGCAATATAAGCACGAGAGTGATGACCCTTGATTGATTACTGATCACTGTGATCAGTGATGGTATGGCCTAGGACGAGTGAAGTTGTCGAACTGATCTCTGCGACGCCAGCTCCACCATATTTGCTGGGTAATTCAAGAGTGCCACTTATTGGAGTGCCACTTGAATTCTGGGGTACCTTTCAATATTTAACTGATCTTGAAAATCATCATCCATTCACAGAACTCTGACTGCCAACTGCATCACTTGTCTACTTTGACGTGTCTCCACTCTCTCCAATGCATTCGTGGAGTGAGTGTTTCCACAAGTTACCTATGTGAAAACAAGCAACGAAATAAAATTTCAACTAAGGTACTAGATTCCGTTATTTGGACCAAAAGCTAACTGCTCACCTGCAACAAGTGATCACAGCAGAAATGTTGGATTAATGCACTATGCAAGCATGTACGAAAATAAGCAAAAGGAAGATGACCTGTTTCCGTGGCTTGCTCATGTTAAGCGAAGGGGAAGAAGTGAAAGAAAAGTGTCAAAATGTTCCCAACAGAGGGAAAAAATATAACGTTTTCAATTTGGCTAACTATCGTCAAGCCAGATAGATGCACATTACATAAGATATTGTTTTCTTTTTCTAACCAACGTATCTGACGAATAGTTTCATTAAATTTGGATTATTAGTCTGTTGTATTATTAGTCTGTTTTTTAACAATAGAATTTCTGGTATTTTGAGCTATGCAATCTGGTATTCTCGCCTAAAAAAAACCTGGCAACACGTTGGACACAGTAAGATATTCTGCGAGCAGTAGACCGTAGCAGCTCTGCGGCACAGCTATACTGGACCTGTCGGCTCACTCGGCTGCATTTGCCACGGTCGACCACGCCACCTCGACGTATCATGCTACTTGTGTGAATATTTATATACTTCTTATTAAGATCATAATACAGGGTGCGGCGCGGGAACTTACTTATTTGAATTGCGCGCCACGTGGCGGCCATTAGTCCTAGGAAGGTGGCGCCATGCGCAATATGGTGCGCGGGCTATGAAGTTTTTCGTCCATCTTTGTAAAAAAGAAAGAATTAAAACGCTATCTTTAATACTTTTTACTTTGTGATTTTTTTAAAAGAGTAAGTTCCCACGCCGCACCCTGTATATCTTATAAGGATCAATTACTGGATCAAATGTTTTAAACTTAGAAGAATATCACATTTTCGTCAAATCTTCATATGTAATCAAAGGTCTTTTTATTTTATTTGACACGACGATGTTCTTAAGTACATCCTTTCCGAAACTTGCAGAGAGTCTCTCAACTAAGTTTAGCAGCGTTATTAGAGGCGCTTGCGTAAATTCAGGATTCTTCATGCGGCTCAGTGCGGCAGCTCATTCCTATGCTAATGAGACATTTAGGCATACACCATAGGAAATTTAAGGCAGTGGAACATATTTTCGAAAACAATAAAAAAATTCGGAAGCACTGAGAACAGAATTGCGTCGGATGGTCCTTCAGGGTAAGTAAATTTTTGCATCGGTCATATTTGCAATGACCATCACTTTTCAAATGTGTTTACCACATTGAATAGGCATAGCGAATGATTAATGTAATGTTAATGAAATGACTAATATAAACTTGCATTTGACCGCAAATATCCTGGGAATGGAGCGATGCTAATCCGCTTGTTTAGCTCGTGACAATTTTTCTATTTTGCTTTCGAGTTAAACAGATATCTGAGGAACGACTGGATTTCCTAAAGGCCGGTTTAACCAAGAGCCTTATACGTATAGCCGTATAACTCGCAAACGAAGGCAAAACGAAAAAATTGTATACATCACCATTGCTGAGGTTAGGTATTTAGTACTAAATTCCGTTCAAATCTGTTCAGTAGTTTTGGAAAAAAATTTCTTGATTACCAGTACTTCGTATTTAAGAACGTATTGCTGTTTAAATCACGAATGAAGGGGAAGTGAAAAAAAACTCGCGAACGAAGGCACAATCGAAAAAAATTTCACGAGCTCAACATTACCGTTCGGTAGTTAGGACTGTAAATTCAAAATTTCGTTCGAATCTGTTCAGGAGTTTGGAAGAAATTACTTGATCACTGTGAATTTCGGCCTGTATTGTCATATGACTGGCAAAATTCAAACTATTTTTACGAGCAAAACATCATCTTTAGGTCCTAATGAATACGTGTACCAAGTTTCATGGAGTTAAGTTCATTCGTTTGAGAGATATTCCTTGTTCATTGAATTTGGTAATTGGTCGTGAGACCGGCCGCGAGCCCGGCCGTTAACTTGTCAGAGACGTAAACCCAGGAGAGATTAAAAAAACATATCTGGGTGAAAAAACCAACTCTGGGAGTCGTGTGCTGCACGTGTTGTGTACAAATCGTGGAACAAAAGTTCGAAATTCTGACATTGACTTCGGAGTTCGGACTACCGCTCCCCCCTACCGCCCTCTTCTTCCTTACCGCCCCCCCCCCAAATTTTTTCCACCGCCCCTAGGGGGGGAAGCGATATCGCCCACTTTGGGAACCACTGATTTATAAGAAGTACATTGGTAATCATAGGTAGCAATTAGACCGAAAATTCATAATTAAACATTAGAGAACACTTCATTTGACTGGGCCCATCTGTACGTCACCGGCGTTATTGCCGCAATAAGGCCGCCACAAAGTAAAGGTTCACAATAATTGTCGTGAAAATGATTAAAACTACCGTTATAATAATCATCAATCGCCCAAATCCAAATAAGATTGCAAGACCTAATTACAGAAAAGGGTATTCTGGGTGTTTCTTTTTCATATGCTTCTTATATTTATGAAGGTAAGCATTCCTGCAAGTGCAACCAGCTATTGGACAGACGCATTTCTTATTATTATCGTGGACTAAATTGATGTGTTCCCTCAAATGGCGTTCCCTATAGAAAATTGTGCCCACACCTCGCAGATGAATTGTCTAGGGCTGCGGGCCCTGTGCGCCTGTGCGATCTTGGCAGAGGGCTTTGATAATTACCATAGGGCTTAAAATAGGAGATGATTACCATATTTTCCTTTGTCTCTGCAAGATACACAAATCTACGGTGTACAAATTGCTGAGTCGGGCGTTGCCCTCGATTGAGCTTCAAATCATCTGCGTTAGTGGGCTCGAGCGGAAAGAGAAGAAGGATCTGAAAACGTACGAAATTAAAACTAAATGATGCAGCCATCGTCCAATATTTAAATGAAAACTATTACTTGCAACTGATGAATTTATTAAGAGAATTCCCCAGTACCGATGTAAAATGAACTATAATGAATCCATCTATAAGTGGTTGGCTATTAAAAATAACATCAACGAGTTAATGTAGTTACTGCTGTAGCGATGACTCACGCTCCTTAAAAAATTGAGCTCTCTGATGACTTTCTTGAGAACTGAGATGTCCCAATTGATGTGGATGCCCTCTTCTCTGATGTCGTCAAGGATGCCGGTGTGCGACGCGTTCTCAGACCCCACCAGGTCCGCGATGACGAGGTGTGACGCTGCTGCCACGTAGCCCTGTGACGGCCGCTCCTCCGCCTACTCGACTCTGCGCATAGAAAACTATATATTACATGTCATTGCAATAATGTATCCAAAAACAATTTCATTGTGCTCTCATGATTGAATTGATTGACCTATGGAGTTTCTTGACTAGGAATTCGACAGATAACTCCCCACATAAATAAGATAAAAGTCTGAAATTTGGAATGTTATCCTAGTCAATTATTTTCAATCTGCAGACCACTCAGTTTTCAAAGTGCTTGTTTGGTGCTGGTGTGGATTCAAGTAGACATTCTAGTAAAACAAAATCTCAAGCACATGAAAAGGGTAATACAATCAAAGTTGTAAATCCATCAGGTTAAATCGCTCGAATATCTTATTTACCAGAAAGGTTAATCCGATGTGCATTTCCGTTGAGTAGAAAGTTTGTCCTAAACGACCGTACCTCGCATGAAATCTGCACGGCCGTATTATGGACAGAAACCGTACCACAGCCGCCGCTTCGCGTCGCTGCGGTTGCCTCTCTCAGTAGCTCTCTCTATATAGCTGTTCACTCAACATTTATACAGATGTCTAATAATAGGTCGAACGGTTGATTTTGCTACGACCTCACTTCGGAATGGTGGCTCTGCATTCACCTACGATGATGCCACTCCGAGCAAGTTTGCCGTAAATCAGCTGATGATGTTCATGACCGTACGGCTGAAGGACTCTCAAGATTCTGAAGACGTGGGATCGGGAGCTGCGATCATTCACGGGCGTGCGGCGCACCTGCCGGTTCTTCTCGCCGCGTTGCAGCAGTGAGAGCAGCTGCGTGAAATCAGATAAATTTAGTGACAGGCTCAGCTGTCTATAGAAGTGAAATTGAGCATTTCGTATTTCTAACTCACCTACATTAATATCCGATCACAATTCGGATTATGGAACACATCCCATAGACCATCCGAAAAAATTGACTTGAATAAGTGGAGACATTCAAACCTACTTAGATTTCTGATTACTCATTTTTATGGTGAAAAATGATTACGTACATAAATGATTACGCGTTACCTGTTCCTCGCTCCTGACAAGTTCCTCTGTGAGGCAGAGGAAGTTGAAGTATCCAGATGCCTCCAATCTTCCCGCCAGAGGACTAATGCCAGGAGCGTTGGCGCTAACAACTAGTAGGTCGAACTTTTTGTTATAAAGTTCCAAGTAAGAACCTCTGAAAAAGAGTCGACATCAGTGAGCAAGTTAAGGGAACATTGAAAATTTCATTCATACTGACAAACATAGTGACATTTAAATGACGAATGACTACAAATTTTAGTGACATAACATAGTGAGGTCGGCGCTGAAGAGTAGGCCTGATGTGGCCTGTTGCCGATTCTTACTTTACGTGATTTGTTCACAGATCTAAAATAGTGTCATTTGACCGGATCTTTTCAGGATTGACGATCTATAGTTTGAATTAGCTACTAGACTTCCACCGGGTTCGATATGGTGCTAGGCATTTCAAGCCTGAACATAAATTTTTTCATAGCTTTATCCAGTCTGTTCTTGTACGAGTTCCTGCTCGGAGCGCGAACGACGTAATCGGGGAGGCTGTTCCACATGTCAGTGATTTGAAGCGAGAAAAAATGTCGCGTGGATAAGCTGCAGCGCAGTTTTTTAGTTTATAGCCGTGGCCCCTGGTGTTGGTTCTTGATTCAAATTCTAGTAATCCTTCGGGGACCTTGTATAAACCATGATTATACTTGTGATGAGGTCCTCGCGCAGACGTCTATAACTGAGGCTTGGAAGCTTCATAATCTTCAATCTTCTTCGTAAGACTTGCCCTTCAAGCCTGGAATAATCCTTGTTGCATGACTTTGAAGATTCTCTTTTAAATTTTCGTCTTTTTCAAATATCGGTGACCACACATCGTTTCCAAATAGATTCGGGCGCACGACAGCAACAAACAACTGCTTCATCGCTTCTGCATCTAGGAACTCGTAAAAACGTCTGATTAGCCCAATAAGTTTGTTGGATGTAATTATAGCTTGCGTTTCAACATGCTTAGAAAATTTCAGCTCCTTGTCAACATAAACTCCGAGATCTTTTTCCACACTAGACTTTTCAATCCTTACTCTCTCGTTGCAACCATGTCTTCCCATACTGCAATTTTGCTGTTCATTGTTTTTCCCGAGGTGAAGTACTTTACACTTGTCAGCATTAAACCGCAGCTGCCACGAATCACCCCAGTTAACTAAACTGTCGAGCTCATCTTGCAATTGCGCTTTCTTTGACGCATTCTTCACTGTAGTTTAAACTTTTGTGTCGTCGGCATACATGGAGCACACGCTGGACACTGCTTCTGGCAGATCGTTTATAAAAGCAACGAACAATATAGGCCCAAGAACGCTTCCTTGTGGCACGCCACTGCGCACTGATACCCAGTAAGACACGGTTCCGTTAATACGGACACGTTGTCGTCTACCAACTAGAAAATCTCTGATCCATTGGAGAACGTTTCCCTCAATTCCCAAAGTCTTCACTTTGCGCAACAGCCGCTCATGCGGAACACTGTCAAATGCTTTGGCAAAATCTAGGTACAATGCATCCACTGGCTCCCTTTCGTCCAGCAGGCGAGTCCAATCGTTCAAGGTAGATAACAAGTTAGTGGTGCAGGATCTGCCGGCAATAAAACAATATTGACATTTTGATAGGAGATAGTGAGCAGTCAAGTGATCGATAATCCTATCCCTCACAACAGATTCCATTGGTTTACAAACAACACTTGTCAGACTGACAGGGCGATAGTTGCCGGGGCTGCTTTTGTCACCTTTTTTGAACAATGGTGTTACTTGAGCTTCTTTCGAGTCGGACGGCAAAGTTCTTCTTTCATTCAAGGTTTTTTTGGAAGAATACTGTGGGACGGCCAGAACGTCTGCTAATTCTTTGAGCAATCTGGGATGGAAGCCGTCTGGTCCACATGACTTGTTGGGATTTAGAGTTACCAGGCGCTTCAGAACCTCTTCTTCATGTATTTAAAAACCTGTTGACTTTGAGCCGACTGGGCGCTTCTAGTTGGAATATATATCTAGAATGGAATCTGGGATACTGTTCAAGTCCTCATCTGTGAGTTCACACTGCTGAAGAACTGATTAAAAACGTTAGCCTTGTACTCATCAGAGATTCAGAGGGAATCTTTCGTTGGTCTACCTATAATGTTAAATCAGATATACCGTCGCTTGTCTTATACAATTCGAACTAGCGTACAAAAAGAAGGCTTTCGGATTCTTTGTTAACATTTTTAGCAATATTTTTTTCAAAGTTTTTCCCTGCAGTGCGACAGACTTTTTTAGCTTGATTACGAGCTCTTGCATACTGGTTATAATCAGAATCGCTACGAGTTCGTAAACTGCGTAAAAATAGGAAAAAAAAATTCTAATTTAGCTATTGAAGACCCCCGGAACTTGGTGCACGGTTAGTCATAAATACGTTATGAACTCAGCTAACTCCATAGTACATATATTAGTCACTTCTTTATTGACCTGCAAGTGTGCAGATACTAAACTAGTTGTTAATCAGCGTAAATTCAAGTTCAAAGCTTCACTTTTCATCAGTCAAATGTTTAGACATTATTCCATATATCTTATTTTCATCCGATTCACGCAAGTCCAATAGAAGTAATCGTTTGATGATAATTATTGCACTATGCCCTTCAATCAGATGTGCAACTATCGTCAAGTATTGTAGACACTCCGTGATGAGTGATCAAGTTCAATGATTGTGTGCTTCCCTATTGACTATTTTATCGGTCTCTGAAGGAATTTTTTACCATTAGTATACAATTCAAGTTTCGGCATCAGAACAGGTTCCTCCTCAAAGCATTTTTCTTTCGTCGCGTCTAATAGAAATTCCAATAAACACGATTTATATACAATAAATGTCTACCGTTTTATGACAATAAACTAAAAGAGATCAATCTAAATTATAATACTTCTAAGCAACAGGCAGCGTGATAAATCATGGTTCTTCGATAAAGTCTCCAGATAACTAGTGTTTTACCGTGCCGGCACCGTGCAGATGGTGAAGTTCATCATACTAATGATTGCTGATTATAATTATGATCATATGAATCAACTAAGTACTGATGGCGCTGCTGTAGTAAACGTTCCATTTTTATTTCTATTGTCGGTGCCTTGCAAGTTGCTCGAGACACTCCAGACGGTATAAAAGTTGCCTTGCTCGAGACAGTATAAAAGTCGCCCTTGCTCGAGACTATTAAATAAGTCGCCTTGCTCGAGACAGTAAAAAAAGCCGCCTTGCTCGAGACAGTACAACGCCGCCTTGCTCGAGACAGTATAAAAGTCGCCCTTGCTCGAGACTATAAAAGTCGCCTTGCTCGAGACAGTAAAAAAAGTCGCCTTGCTCGAGACAGTACAACGCCCCCTTGCTCGAGACAGTATAAAAGTCGCCATGCTCGAGACAGTACAACATCGCCTTGCTCGAGACAGTATAAAAGCCGCCTTGCTCGAGACAGTATAAAAGTCGCCATGCTCGAGACAGTACAACATCGCCTTGCTCGAAAGTTTGAGCGAGCGCCTATAAAATCGTGCAAATCTCATTAGTTTTTGCGAGCTGCTTAGAATAACAAATAGCTCATCGACAAGCGCCAGGCCTGAATTAGTTTGTAGTTACACAATAATGGTAATTTTTCCTCCTGTCCTGAGTAGTGGGAGCCATGACGCATGTTAGCTTAATCAAGCGCCCGACCGAAATAATAATTCGTGGAAAATTGGGTAGCTTTGTGCGATTAATCTCAGTATATCATGGTACGATTTAGGTGCTTCCAACAATCTACAAGCTAGACGGCGTCAGTCGCAAGCTAACTGCGGATGAGAGAGAGGTGAATGCAAGAGCAGACGTGTTGAATTCCTAGTACTTATATACACTTTTAATTTATCTTATTCGCCTAGAGAATGCGTGTAAGGCGCAATGTACACGTAGTCGGTTTATTTGTCCTCTTAACGCTGGACAGCAGGGCAGAGAAAGCGCCATTACACATACCATACAATATAAGTATATTTTGGCACTGAATTTCGCGTAAAAAGAGAAATATTTGCTATATGTCTTTAAATTTTGAATATTCATCTGACCATGTACAACTGATTCTATAAAGTGTCCTATGTTCGCCATAAACAATTTTATTAAGAAAGTAGAGCGAAAAATTGTGTATGCAAATCCTTCGTTAACGAATAAACGTTAAAAAACATCGAATGAAGAAAGTTTGCTTCAGCATTTTTGTGCGCATAACTCGTTTTGATGAGACTACATTAAATCATAATAGCAACGAAGGAATCCATTTGGCACTAACTTTATTTGCTCGTGAACGAACAGCTCCCCTGATCTCCCGAGCTTGAGAATTTTCGCTTCCTAAAGGTTAATATGTATTATTTTTTAGAATTGAATTCATTGCAGATTATTGACAATTGTAGCTTCAAAAAAAGAAATTATATAAACAATTGGACTCTTCAGGATGTAAAAAAAGAACTTTTCTGCCTATAATAATATATCGTTAATATTGTAATGCAGGAGTATGATATGTATAAAAGGTATTTATTATGATTCGCTGGTGCCATCACGCTGCTTCTTAGTTCCTTACTAGCTACAGTAAACTGTTCGTAAAAAAGAAGCCTTAATTTCTTGACATATTGCATGTCTACGACTTTTAGTTCGGTTTTGCCGGTTAGCTGCAAAAGTTTTAGTTCGCTGCAGCACTGAATCATACACATATTTAGCCCATAAAAAGACTTGTGGCAATTATTTTATTTCTTTATTACTGTACAACTGAAAAATTTCGTTTCATGTCGAGCAACAAAACATGCAATAAAGGCACATCAAAACATGCAATAAGATCACGAAACTCGGCCAGTTAAACAACAGCGTTGAGAAAATCACAGCAATAATTAAAATTTTTAAATTAATTTTCAAAGGAAAACCCATGAAGATGGAGGTAGTAGTGAGTTAGCAAGATTAAACTGTTAAAAGGACAAAATGAACTTTAAGATACGAGTAAATGAAAGAGCACGTGCTTATATGCTGGTATTAAATTAAAAAATATAACGCCACTGATCCACGAGTCTACGCGCACTCCTTAGTGATGCTTGAACTATATCCATTTCAGACAGACTTACAATTAGAACAAGATGGTAATAGTCTCGACCAGCTTCAGGCTGGTCACAGGGTTGTCGTCAGCGTTGTCTCTGCTGAGCTTCGTGAGCGACGGCCGCGTGGCCAGCGTCTTCAAATGCGGGGCGGCGTGTCGCGCGGACGACCGATGCGGGGGCTTCGTCTGGGATGTGGATGCCGTGAGTTACTCAGCATTATGATACTCAACGCACATATTGTTGATAAAAAGAAGTAGGGGAAACAGTCAATTAATTTGCAGTTGTCGGTGTGCGAACCTATGATTTATAAGCGAAATTATCTAGATTAAATTCACTTCCACTATATTTTCCGACATTTTTATGTATTTATATTATAATAGAATTTCTTATATTAGACAATTTTTCTAATTTTTTATTTCCTTATTAAAATCATTGTATTAATATAATATGGCTATACCATAATTATTAAAATTTAAAGAATATCGAAGGGAATATTACATTCTTGAACACGAGGAATGACGAATTTAATAGAATTGCCAACTAATTATTTCGAACAGTTCCGTCATCAGTTCAGGTAAAATTACTGCACTGATGCTTCATTATTGTCTGTTTTTGACGAGAACAATCAATGAATCATTATTTTAAAAACTAGATGCTACTTATTGCTACTGCCTGATAACAATTCCCTTCATACCCTACATGAAACTATTTAAAAGGGTTACTTGCCAAATTTATTATTTAAAGTCATCTTTCAACCAAAATTCTCAGGTTAGAAAAAAATTTGTTTACGAATACCCAACGAGTTTGGTAAACGTTCTAGGATTCATCGCTTAAACGGTATCGGTTATCCAATTAAATTGTAATCTAAAAATAGTTAAAGTGAAAAATGCTGGCTTACTCTTGCGACTACCGAGCTTATCAGTTGTTTTCCAAACATAATTATCGTCATTTGCACTTGTATATTCTTGTAGCTATCGTCTAGTTGAGAAGTGGGGGCTTGATAAAATTAATTCATCAAATTTTGACGTAGTTACAATATTTTCCATGACTGAATTTCTATGAACTAATTATAATTAATTTCATTATCACCGCACAGAACTCAAAATAGATGGTTTCTCAAGAGCTGTGATGTATTTCTGTTGAACTTCCTGCCCTTTTACTTTTCTTTTATACTTGATTGCGGGGCAAACAACAATTTTAAGGATGATCTTTTTCAGCGTTTAGAAAATTTGTGCCTCTAGAATTAGGAAAAAACTCCAGTTAAATGAGCTTTGGTGTTTTCAACAGTGCTTTTCTTATCATTTGACTGGAAATTAATTTTTTGTACTATTTATTACGTAGGAAGCACTTCCATTGCGTTGTGAATTTGAGACACTAAACTCATTGGGTACACCGTACATGTTGAGTATGGTGGCCCCAATGCGCGTTGGGTTCATTATCCGTGTGCGGTCTGTTAGCTACAATGCGTTTACGTTGTGTGATGCGAGTCAATATGCGTGTTGGATATGATGGACGTTGTGAATTTACTCGTTGTTTCTTTACTCTAGTTTTGTTCGGATTAATTACCTGGATCATCAAAAGATCATGGGTGCAATAGTTAGACATTGAGCGGCCCAATTAAACTGTCTAGAAATTTTGTTTCGTCGGGTCACTATGTACATCAGTGTAGCGTTTTCATTGTTCACTTAGCTAAAGTTCTGATCGGCGGTTAAAAAAGCATTTATGATTTCTCTACCTTAAGTGTTCCCCGTTTGTATCTGCTTTCTACTGCTCGACCAGGTTGCTCCATGTCGCTTCGTTGTGGACCCAGCGGTGGTCGGGAACGTGTCTACGAACGTGTCGGCCGCGTACGTCATGGCCAACAACTACGCCGGTAACTCCGCTATCTTGGAAATCGCTACGCCTTTCTTGAATTGGGAGTGAGTACAAAACTTTCAATGCATTATATTTTTTAGAAAAACACTTTGGATCGACAGTCGATTTCAGTTTAAACGATAATGTTACTTAATTTCCATAAATTTTCCTGGAGCATTGCTTACGATTGAGTTCCTTTTCAGAAGTCAATATTGTGTGAGGGAAATTTTTTTGAAAATTATTAGTTTTCTAATGCACAAAAAGTACTTATACACGCAAATAGCGACACCTTAGTTGTTAGAAAAACCAGGTTGTTTGCTGAAGATCAAAATACTTAATTCCTGGACGAGCGTCGTTATATATTTGATTAGTGAATTTTGAGCTCTCATTTATCCACATCATCGAGAGCCGTTATTACTAAGCCTATATTCTAGTCTATGGTTGAAGCAGATAGAAAACAGTTTTAGGGGGCGGGAGTGAAGGTTGCAGAGGACAAAAACTATTATTGTGGGGACGGCAGCGAAGGTTAAGCTATTTACTTAATCAAGCTATTTCGCACCGGAGGTAAAAAAATAATGTCGCCAGCAAAGCGGAATGTCGCAATTATTTAGTCTCAAATTAATCATCACCAACAACGGGCGGAAGGTCTCAATGAGACGAAGGGACAGGTGAAAAGCAACAGAAACGAAGATACTCGGAACAAGCGGTCGCTTACACGGAACGTCTGCCGCCCGCTCGAGAGAGACATGCAGAGAAGGGAAATGTAAGGAATTCTGCCAACATAATAACTTAATGTAAGGTATCCTACCCACATAATAACTTAATGTAAGGTATCCTACCTACACAATAACTTAATGTAAGGTATCCTACCTACATAATAACTTAACCCCATAACTGAGGCCTGCAGTCAGACACCGCGAGCTCAGCGGTGGGGCGCTCAGGAACAATCCCCATAGGAGCGCGAAATCCCATAATTGGACTTCTGACGAGCACAGACACGCGTCAGAAGTCCCCCCTGAGGGGGCATAAAAATCAGACACAGACCTAAGAACAGAAATTGGACAGAGCTACCATCATGAGCTGGGTATAACACCGACACCGGCTGGCCGCTCTCTGCTAAAATACCCGCCTCTAAGAAAATAAAAGAACTGCCTGCATGTCTTAAGTTACCCTACCGGTATATTACAGGGTTTGGGACGGAGATACAAGGACACTGATGACTACTGACGCACGCCCTGCTACTTATAGTGGGTGCAAAAAGTGTCCGACACCAAGGCAAAACTTTATTTATTTAAAAAAAGCTTATTATTAAAGCTTATTCAGAAGCTTATCAAAGCTTATTCAGAAAAATTACATAAACAAACACTGTTCTATACTGTAAATTTACATGAAAAATACAAATATCAAATCAAAACAACAATATATTATTAAACGTTGACTTGATTATTACAATTCTGTGAAAATCAAGGTTCAAAAAAAACATAGTAAACAAATTTGCTCAATACTTCGTCATGTGACATTTAGCTAACCGATTGGGTTACTTGTTTATGTCGGGTGTTCATTTATCTAGGACCACCTGATAGCTTTGTAACTGTGAGTCAGGGTACTTCGTTGTTCCAAGTATGCAGAGGTGGGCAGTAGCGGGCTACATGTAGCGGCCGCTACTCGCGGTCGCTACATTTTTGGTAGCGGTAGCGGCGCTACATTAAAGCAATTGTAGCGGTAGCGGTAGCGCCCGCTACATATTTAGGTAGCGATACGAGGTTTTGCCGCTACAGCGCTACGGCTACATTTATAGATAAAGCCTTTTAATTTTACTTAATAGTAATAAATATTATTTAAAAACCAGCATGATACATACATAACATAAATTACAGAATGAAACTGTACGAAAGAGTTCGGTGTAATGTTGTCAACCTCAGCCTGCTACTAAATAGTGTCAACATGTTAGTTGTTACCAGAGGTGGGCAGTAGTGCGCTACATGTAGCGGCCGTTACTAGCGGGCGCTACATTTTCAGTAGCGATAGCGGCGCTACATTTAAGCAATTGTAGTGGTAATGGTAGCGCCCGCTACATTTAGAGCATGTAGCGGTAGCGGCCACTACATTTCAAAGTAGCGCTGCCCAGCTCTGCAAGTATGACTAAAGCAGGACAAGTGAAACGCACGGTTACTCTAGTTCTATAATAATAAACGTGCCCGAGGAGCGGACTAGCAAGATGACGGCTAGGCTGTACCGCTTCAACTGGCCTGGCTATATATATATATATATATAGTCATTAACAGGGATGACGTCACTAGGCGTGACTCTACCGTGTGGGTACAGAACAAGCTAAGCTGATTAAGTATGAAAACTCAGGTGATGATAGTAGATCACCGGACATACGCAAGATTTTTACATATGGTAATAGAAATTTTAGCCCACTCTTCCATGCATATTTCTTTCAATCGGATAAAATTTCTTGGATTGATTCTCTCCTGTACCCTCAGTTTCTATTCTCGCCACAAATTCTCAATCGGAGTGAGGTTAGGTGATTGATTGGCTTGGCCATTCCAATAACTCAATGTCTCTCTCCTGAAACCATGCAAGAGTTGCCCTAGCCGTGTACTTAGGGTCATTGTCTTGTTGGAATATCCAACCTCGAGGAAGTTCCAATTTTTCGTCTGATTTCACGAGACCCCTAAGAATGCCCCGATACATTCCGGAGTTCATTCTTCTTCCTTCATCAGTTCCATGATTCCCAATTCACCAGGGCCTGCAAGAGAGAAAACCCCCAAAGCATCATGCTGCCATCGCCAAACTTCACTGTTGAGACGGTTTTTTTCGGGTGAAACGCAGAGTTCTTCTGCCTTCAAACACGACTATCCCAGTTCCGACCAAACAACTAAATTTTAGTCTCATTTGACCATAATATTTTATTCCAGAAGCTTGGAGGTTTACTGACGCCTTCTTTCGCAAAATTCCGGCGGTTCTTTGCGTAAATTTCCTTCAACAGAGCGGTTTTTCTTGGTGACCGAGAGTGGAATCCACTCTCTCGAAGAACTTTCCTAAACTTATGAGTGGCCCAGTGGTTACAGTTCAGAGTACCAAGATAGGAGCAGAGAGGCGCGAGTTCGATTCCAGCTCTGTGCGCCAGTTTCTATTCAGAATCGGTGAGGAGGCCGGGCGGTTAAGCACAGCAAAATTGTAGCAGTGAGCTTCGAGTTCGAGACCGCAAAATGCTATAAATGTTCTGCGACGTTAAGAATCAGCGACAGGCCTACGGCCTAATAAACGCTGAAACCGCTATTAGTATTTATTATTATTAATTGTGTTCTTGTAAATATTTGTCCCACTTGATTGAAAGTCTTTTTGCAGTTCAGAGCGAGTCAGTCGAGGATTATTCTGTAGTTTTCGAACTAAACTCCTAGGTCTGCGATCAGAAATCTTTGTAGGATGCCCTGAACACGGCAGACTAATCGAAAGATGGAATGATTTCCGCCTCCGAACAGTATCACCAACTGTCGAAACTGGGATATATAACACGGATGAAATTTTTTTATATCCCAAACCATCTCTGTATAGCTGAATAATTGGTTTTCCAGCTGATCTAGAAAGTTCTGTAGTTTTAGGCATTGCTGAAAAGCGTATAATAAAGCCACCTTCTAATGACGATGCCTGGTAATGAATAACTCTAGTTAGAAATATGTCTATGACATTCTTTTGTTTTCTAGAATATTCCAACGTTTTCTGATTCTAGAATATTCACCCGAACATAATGGATGAGAAATTTTTGACGAATCGAATTCTTTTTTTTTACGATATGTTGGATACTTTTTGAACATTGACTTTTACAAAATTGCAATTATCAAGTCAGCATTTAATAATATTGTTGTTTTGATATGATATTTGTATTTTCCATGTATATTTAGATTAGAATAGTTTTTGTTTATATTATTTTGTTAAATATTTTGTTAAGTATACATAGGTAAGCTGTAATTCACAGCTTACCTATGACTATTATAACTTTTGCTAAGCAACGGTGTTACCGCGTTCTCAAGCTTCGTGAAGATTATTTAGTTTCGAATTAATTCGCCACTAATCATTCAGTATTTAAGTACGTATTCAAGAGACTGAAAGATGATCAAAGAGTCATTCCTACAGCAAAGATTCGCATTTAAATATAAAACAGTTGAGAACCAAAATAGTTTCATACAACGAACATTAGTTGGGGCATATAACCAAAATTTGTAAAGTTATGTGAAATAACCTCAAAATCGTCTATGAATACCTATGACATACCAACCTTTTTTGGCTATTTATATTAGGGAAAAGGTGAATACAGTGGGACATGATGACACTGAGACACTACAACTTCTTTTTAAATTAATGTGTTATATTTAACCACAGTTATTATAGTTCCAACACACAAATCAATGCATCGATTACCTTAGCAGAGAGATGTGAGGTCACCTTTATCACATAAAATATTTTACCTGTCTCATTGTCCTCCATGTTTCATTCTTGCCAGGTTTTAAATTATCATCACAGACAAGTTCATCGTTAACCAAATATAACACTCAGACCCTATGGTAATTTGTGTGCATTAACCAACCTTTTTTTGTGCTATTTCAGGCAAGCGACCCTGAAGTGCAAGAGCCTCAACATGAGGCTCGTGACGTATCCGATGACCAACAGGGTATGTACTTATATGTAGGACTATTGATAATATTTTAATCGAGAAGAAGCGCAGGCCAAAAAATCTATGCCGAATGAGTCTACCTGATCTTTACACATTCAGTGCACTAATTAAACCAAGATGACAATGCTATTTATCATGATGCAGTAGATACCAACTCATTAGATTAAGTTGGAGCCATTTTCTAGAATGCTCTCAAATGACTCAAGTAAAAGTAAAGCAGAACGGAGCCGGCTGCATATGAGTGCGCTAAGCGTAGCAGAATAGCTGGTGTAAGTTCCGTCGTGTTCGCTTTATTTAGGAGATCAGAAAACACTCCGGTAAAGATGCCAAGGTTGTAGTTAGGCGCATGACAACCATGCCGTGACTCCCCAGCAGGTATTTGACGATATTGGTTGAATTCAGGTTGAGATGTTGAACCAAAATTGAACGTCACGTCATATCAACGTCGAAATCTGACTAACACTAGGAAGGACGGAAAACAACATTATTTCAACGTGGAAATAACCTCGATATTGGTACGTTGAATGTTTACTAATTTTTAACCGTTGAATCAATGTTGATTTCAAGTTGAACTGGCAGAATTGCTGAACAGCCAAAATTAAACGTCCAATCAACGTCGAAATCTGACCAAAACTAGAAGGGACGTAAAACAACGTTATTTCAACGTTGAAATAACGTCGATATTGGTACGTTGAATGTTTATTTATTTTTAGACGTTTAATCAATGTTGATTTAAGGCTGAAATGCTTGCAAACCCAAATTAAATGTCCAATCAATGTCGAAATCTCACCAAAACTAGAACGGATGTAAAACAACTTTATTTCATAGTAGAAATAACGTCGATATTGGTTCGTTGAATGTTTACTAATTTTTAAACCTTGAATCAATGTTGGTTTCAGGTTGAAATGTTGAACAACCAAAATTAAACGTTCGATCAACGTCTGAATCTGACCATTACTAGAAAAGACGTAAAACAACCTCATTTCAACGTTGAAATACAATACATAAAAAAAAAATTAAAAAAACACGTTTTTCTTTTGGTTTAAAAATTATAAAATAAATTATGGCTCGCCCCAAAAAACGTGTGTCGGGCAGATTTATGATTAAAGCGAAAAACACACAACACACGAATTTTGGAAGTTTGATGGTGAACGTTCAGCCCGACCCACGTTTTTTGGGGCGAGCCATAATTTATTTTCTACTTTTTAGTCCAAAAGAAAAACGTGATTTTTTTTTTAATTATGAAATCTGAAATTGTTAGGCGAAAATAGCCTGCATGCCGAATTTCAGATCTCTAGAGCAATCAGAAGTGGGCTAATTTTCATTGTCAATGTTAACAACAAACAAACAAACGCGAAGCTGAGTAAAGAAAAACGTTTTAAAATGGTCGATATCGGTACGTTGAATGTTTAGCTATTTACCAGCATGGAACTAATGTTATTATACCAACAATGAATGATAAACATATATATAAGTGTGCGATTAATGAACAGAGATCGCATTTCAATTTTCAAGAAGTCGAACAATTCTTTAGCTTATTTTTATTGCTCATGCACGCGAGCTACCGTGATCAAGGTTGCTAAGGCGTCTCCTGGGATCCCGGGTTCGAATCCTGCTACGGTCGAAGAAACTTAGTTCTTCAACGTCAATTCTAGCCGAGAATTCGACGTTGCATCAACGTCGTAGCAGCAACATTGATTCATCGTTGCATTGTAACGTCAGTACGGCGTTGCATGAGACGTTGCTTCAATTTTCATTCTAACATCTTTTCACCCCGATCTAAACGTCGTAATAGGTAGTAATAGGTCAGTTCAACCAGAGAATTCAACGTTGCAGCAACGTCGTAGAAGCAACATTGATTCAACGTTTTATTTCAACGTCAGTTCGACGTTTCATGAACGTCGAACTTTCATGAACGTCGTCGTTTCATGAAACAACGTCGATATTGGTACTTTGAATGTTTATTCATTTTTAAACGTCCGATCAACGTCGAAATCTGACCAAAACTAGAACAGACGTAAAACAACCTTATTTCAACGTTGAAACAACGTCGATATTGGTACGTTGAATGTTTATTTAATGTTAAACGTCTGATCAACGTCGAAATCTGACCAAAACTAGAATAGACGTAAAACAACCTTATTTCAACGTTGAAACAACGTCGATATTGATACGTTGAATGTTTATTTATTGTTAAACGTCCGATCAACGTCGAAATCTGACCAAAGCTAGAACGGACGTAAAACAACCTTTCAACGTTGAAAAATGGTCGCTATCGGTACGTTGAATGTCTAGAGCTATTCACCAGCATGGAACTAATGTTATCACACCAAAATTGAATGAAATATATATATATTAATATTAGATGGCAGAATTTACTTGTTAACACACGTGCGATCGATGACCAGAGAATTCGTTGGTTTATATTATCAGTGAGTGGAACTTTTCTTCAGATGACTGTAGATTAAAAGACAAGTTTCAGGAAGTAATTCTTATTTATTAACGACGTTTCGAATGCAACAAACATTCATTTTCAAGTTAAAAGAAGCATTAAACATTGAAATTTTGGTGGAAATAAGTACATAATATAAGTAACTAGGATACAACAGTAAAATTTTGGACCAAAAATTACTCGGAAAATTCTTTCTGAGTTCAGACAAATCCGGTAGTCAGAAAATAGATAGCTGGAGTCCAATCTGTAGAGATGAGGTGTTCAGCTATCGTCGGTCGGTTGTTGTCGGGCCACTGCATGATCACGATGCTNACGTCGTTGTCAAGGGTGTCACAGAGCCGATTGAATTCATCACGGATCTTGAGATGAATTTGCTCGATTGTAATACTTTGAGACATGATCTGGTTTCGAGCTTGTCTCAGGTGGCAGGAAGAACGGCTGCTCAATGTCATTGAAGTTACTCCAATTAGTCCAATGCAATCCCAAAGATGCTTCCTATAACTTGAAAATGAATGATGTGACATTCGAAACGTCGTTAATAAATTAATTTACTTCCTTGAACCTGAATTTTTATCAACCAACGTCAGCTGAAGAATATTGTTCGATCCTGAAAATTTAAATCGATGATTTCTCTGGTCATTAACCACTCGTGTTTAAACATATATATAAGTGGACGATTAATGACCAGAGAATGCATTTCAATTTTAAAGGAGTCGAACAATTCTTTAGCTTATTTTTATCATTTTTTTTGTCAAACAATTCTTTTTTTTTTTTTGTTTCTATTGCTCATGCGCGCGAGCTGCAGTGGTCAAGGTTGCTACGGCGTCGCGCGGTCTCCAGCGATCCCGGGTTCGAATCCTGCTACTGACGAAAATCAGGTTGGTTCTTCAACGTTGATTCAACTAGAGAATTTGACGTTGCAGCAATGTCGTAGTAGTAACATTGATTCAACGTTGCATTGTAACATCAGTACGACGTTTAATGAAAGATGTAGCCTCAATTTTCATTCTAAATAACTTTTCACCCCGATCTCAACGTGTAATTAGGTAATTGTTTCAACGTCGATTCAACCATAGAATTCAACGTTGCAGCAACGTCGTAGTAGCAACATTGATTCAACGTTGCATTGTTACGTCAGTACGACGTTTCATGAAGATGTTGCTTCAATTTTCATTCTAAACCTCCTTTCACCCCGATCTCAATGTCGCAATAGGTAGTTGATTCAACCGCCGAATGCCTGCTGGGATTGCTAATACTGACAAGTTTCAGGATCACTATCGGATACCGGGACGTTGCACTGCTCGGCATGAACGCGTTCAGCTGAATGAGGCAGATTAAAAAGTTACACAGTTTCTCGTTATTCAGTTAGGACTTGAATTAATCTAAACCTGGCAAAGAATACAAGGCAAACTTGAAAAAAGTCCAATATAAATAATACTATTATAAAAGAACATGGGAGCACCACTGAATCTATACGAAATAGCAGAAAGTGAAGTTGCTAGATGATAACACACACCTCCACGGTGGATCACAGAACAAATTAAACACATAGCGTGTCTCCACGGTTCACGTATGGGGTGACATTAAACCTAATTTAAAAATACCCGTAATTCCTAATAATTGCAAATTATATTGCACGGTGTTCCCTAACACAATAAATCATCTTTATATGCCGTCTACAATTCATGTTTGGATTATTAAAAACATGTAGCACTGCTAGTCTACGAACATTTTTTACGCTCCTTTTTACCATATTTTTCACAGCTCGACAATATGAGTGTGCTCAAAATTGGCATGGCTCAGCGGAATTGCATTCATTCTATCGATAATTTCGGTTAAATTTTCGTGACGCATTCAGTCGATGCAACTACTGAATATTACTGAAATAGTATACTGAAAGAGTATACAAGAAAAATGCTGTCCATTATGGGATTCCAGTTGTTGCGAGAGCAAAGGAACCATAGAGACGATTGTTACTTTTTTATATTCAATGTGAATGGTAATAAGCATTCCATTTCACACTCAGATCCTCACTTGGCTACTTATCATACCTCCCATGGCTCGGAAATACCAATAATCAAGGCTCTATTCCTTATGGCGCAGGTAAAACAATACTTAATACCCCATCCCTTATGATCAAGATATACTAGCACATAAGCCCTCTTCCCCTATATGACACAGATTTACCAGTACGTTATACCTGTACGTAAGGCCTCATCCCCTATGACACAGATATTCCAGCGTGTAAGGCCTTATCCCCGACGGCACAAATATACCTAGTACGTATGGAGACATTCCATATGGAACAGATATATCCAGCCATGCCTGAACAAGGAGACGAATCAAATTCAGATCTTGAAGATGTTACAAGACTAAAAAATTTTTTCAGAAGAAGATGAATGAATTGGTTGAAGAATTAAATTATCTTAAACTATGCAGCTGAGTTATAACAAAACATAACATAGTGTTGTCGGTGCTGAAGAATCAATCATTAAAAACATGATAAATTCCATAAACCTTAGGTGGATTATTTTTAAATACCGAA